GTCAACTGCTTCTTAAGGCAAAAATATTTTGCTGTGATTTATAGCCATATCTGGGAAAATAAAGCTCCTGCATGGCTAAAACAGGCAAAATAGATTGAGAAGATTGTCTTGTCGTCAACTCCCAGTGCCCTTCTCACAGAAACATCACACGCTTTGCATACTGTAACAAAATGTAAGTTTTATTCTGTTTTATTAGTAACGGAGGTGGAATAGCTGGTTGAAGAGTTGGACTGATGTATCTTTCTCTTTTTGACCAATTTTTAGTGTTCTAACTACAGTCCACATGTCACATTTACATTGAAAAGTACTTACAGATTCAACCTCACACTCAGAAAATTTCTAGTACAAACACAGTTAGTGCATAAAAAACTGAACGACAAAACAAAAAAAAAGAAAGAAGAAGCCAAAACCAACCCAAAACAAAACAAAAACCAATCCTAGAAACTTCATAACAGCACAGACTGGTTATGGCCTTGAGTTAAGTTCAAGTATTTCCCAGTGGAATGCAATGCAAGCAAGAAGGTAGTCTGGCTTTTACATGGGACATTCCTGGCCCTGAATGGTAAGAATAGAAATATAAGTGTGGGCACTTTATCCGACCAAATTTAGCAAGAGACTCAATGTTTACAATTACTTCAGCTACAAAGCTAAACCCGTCTCGTGTGTGAACAAACTAACCTACAAAAAAAAAAACAACCCAAAATCCCCAAAAGCAAAGCATTTGTTATATTACTGGCATTTCTTCCCTGGCTGATGCTGCCTGTCATCTAATAGAAATTCCTGGAGATGCTGGTTTAGGTTATGATGGTTGGGATGAGTTTTTTTTCTTGTGGTTGTGCTTATTTTGCCTCTCTAGCCTTTTCCTTCCCAAGCTGACATGATAAAGAGGGGATTTTTCACTCCTGCCCTGAAAGGAGTCGTTCCTGCAGAGACAGCAATGCCTGTCGGTTGCCTTTGTGGCAGAGGCTCAATGGAAAGCCACAATGTCCTAAAGGCTTTAGAGACCAAAGAGTGGAGGAGGAAAGGGGGAAGTGAGCAACTCAGTACACATAATCATAATAATAATAATAATCCTTTATATTTCTAGGGCTGCCTGACTCATGCTGGCTCCTGTGTGCAGCTCAGGCGGGATCTGGGAGAACTGGGGAGCCTCCGCCCCAGGGTCAGAGGAGTCAGCGGCATCTTCCAGTCTAGCTGGGAAACCTTGCAGGTAACTTTGCGTCTCTCCCAGGCAGCCCACGACACCGGAGCCATCCTGATGGGGATGTCCCCTAGCGCTTCTGCCCCTGCCAAAAGGCTTGGAAAACATGGGAAAAAAAATATCGGCTCCCATTGCCAAAGTATTTTATAGAGGAAGTATTTCAAGCCTGATAGATGAGTGGAGCTGGCTGGAAGGACGGCTGAGAGAGCGGTTACCCTGTCTCCCTGCCCGACGAGGAGGTTGTATCGATCACCCAAGAGTCTGCCCTAGCTCTAGTACTCATCGATATTGCAATTATTGACACTCACTATGGAAAACAGTGTGTGCGTATTAAATGTGAGGGTGACACCAGCCAGGAGGAGGCTGCAAATCTGCTGCAGGTTGTTCCAGACCTTCGCAGGGGTTGTGGTGTGAAAACAAAAAGGCGGGTTGAAGGAAGGCAGGAAGATCCTGACTGCGCCAGCAGGCATCTAAACAGAGGAGTAATCCCCGTGCCTAAAGAAGATGGGGTTTGGGGAAGGACCAGGGTGGCAGATGGGCTCAGGAAGAAGAGCAGAGTGGGAAGGTGGCCTGAGGACCGGCGCTGCTGCACCACTGGGAAGATATGGACTGGCTGGTGGTGCTTCAAAGACCATGCAAGAAAAGCAGCCCTTAGAAAAAAGATGGGTGAGACTGGAGTTGTTTAGCTTAAAGCAGATTTGAGGATGAAAACAGTCATCAAATACCCAAAAGCTTCTGCAGCCGTTAAAGGCATGAGATGTTCTCCGTGGCTGCTGAGCAGAGGAGACGCCAGAGGTTGCAGGGAGGAAGGTTCATATTAGTGGCAAGTTGAGGAGAAGATCCGTGGTCGTCTCCAGCCCTGATGCTCTGAGCGTCTCTGAACCTGCAGCCACGGAGCCCAGGGATCTTCTCCCGTCGGGCACTGACCAGCTATATTGTTGGGGAAGGGGGTGTAGCCCTGCTGTACCAAATGGTTTTAATGATTCAGACAGCTCCCTGTGATCAGATTCTGGGTTAAAATCCACCTCACCCTGCCCCCCTTCTCCCCGTGGTGAGGCCAGGGTGGTTTTCTGAAGCAAGAGCAGAGGAGGCACATTCCCATCTCTGCATTTGGTGACTCACTGGTGAATTTGCAGGTCAGCAGGAGCCAAGGGGCGGATCTGACTCACTGGGAAATGCTCAGGCCATGTCTAGGACTGAGGGAGGTGTTGCTGGTACGGGCAGGAGAAATCCACAATCGGGACTCCCGCACAGGACAGCGCTTTCCAGCATTGCGTGGGAAGGACGAATTTATCTGGGGTTCTGATATCTCCGCTCATCTCAAAGGAATCAGAAGAACTCAGGCAGCGTCTAACCATGGCTCTCCTCAGAATTGCCGTCCTTCCCTTGAGATCATGACTTTAAATACACACTGTTTCCTATGGGACCAGGGCTGGCTATAAGAGAGAAGTCGCATCGATGTGAGGACAAGCTTGTTGTGCTCTGGACAGCAAATTTCCACCCAGCAGCAACTCTCTTCTCCTCCTCAGCAGCCCCAGGTCTGTGAACCTCCACATATTTATCTTCAGGACAGCAGCACCATCAGCAACCGGCCTCTCCTGCCCTGCCGACACAGCCCCAGCCCAGGAGGAGAACATATTCCTGTGTGTGGGACAAGGATAAAGAGCTGAGTTGGATATGTTTGTCTCCTCACCACCGTGGTGTGAAATTCCTGAGCCTTTCTTGCAAAAGTCACAGCAGGAAGGCCGTTCCCCGACGCGACAGACGTGTCACACCTGACTGCTGCTGGGGGAGGATGTGCTGATCCTCCCCCGGTCGTGGTTGTCCATTTCCAGGGGGCAGATCTCGAGCAGTGAGAGAAGGCAGCACTGCAGGCATTTCACTGATGCCTTCAGCAGGGCCAGCCCCAAGCCTGAAAGTGTTCCCCAGACTGTTATGCAAAGCCATAGTGAGTATTTGCAGATGGATACCTCACAGGATGTTTCTTTGCTTCCTTTTTAAACCTACTTTTTTGCTGCCAGCATTGTTCTCTGATGGCACAGAACAACTCAGTCAAAGTCCCCAGGAGCTGAAGGCCATACCCAAGTTCTCTGCCTGTTCCCAAGACTGGCCAAAAGGCTCCGCCACCCGGGGAACAGACATCCCCAAGGCTGTCAGGGACCGACCGCAAGGACATGAGAAAGATGCCCTGCAAGAAGTCACTAGACCCAATGGTTAAGAAATGCTGGCACAGGTACCAGCCTGTGACTTTGGGTGGCTGGCATGGCCTGGAGGGAACAGCTCAGCACAGGGACGGTGCCGTGTTTGATCAGGATTTATGTCTTTTGCATTAAGTTTGATCTTGAAGGCTCTGTCTGTTTGGGTTCTCCACGGTGGTGAATCAACCACCAGGCTCTTGGGAGGTTGCAAGGGCATCGGCCAAGCCACAGGCATCTTGAGAACATCTTCAGGGATCAGACTGGCTCTGAGACCACCCTAAAACCAAGCCAAGCTCAGAAAGCTCCCCATAAACTAGTGGAAAACTTCCTGCTACTGTCCTGATCCTGTCCCCACTGAAGCCAAACCTTCTGCTAAGGCCCCCCAAGCAAGTGTGTGAAACCTGCCAGTTCCCCAGGCGAGGCTGGAAGCTGGAAGCCCAAAAATTGCTCCAGGATGAGATCAATCATAGTCCTGGACCAGATGAGTTTTCCCAGGAGGAGGTGGAAGGCTGTAAAATTATCAGAGGGTTGATATTACATTTATATATATCTCTCTAGGTCTATATTCACACATACATGTTCATATGTGTCTGTATATATACGTACACGTACACACACGTACACCATAGACACACTATGCATAGATCTGCCACCTGCCACTATTTATACGGGTTTGATTCAACAGAAAAACAAATTTGCCGGCACTGATCTTCCAACTTCGACTAATATTCAGCAAATAAGGAAGCCTAAACCCTTAATGATTTTGTTTTCCTGGTTGCATAAAGGCACTTTCTGACGATGTGAAGCAGCAGTTTGTTATTAAAAACGCCGTAACTGCAACGATTCCCTCCGCATCTCTCGCAAGCTCTACACAGGCACCGCTATGACACAACGACACTGCTCCCTCCCGCTGCGTAACGTCCGATCGTGTGTGCTTTTCGCTTCAACACAGAGGAATAAAAGATGAAAACCTTCCACGCTGTGTTTAAATTTAAGTCTCCCTGTGTGAGGCAGTTGTCCTGTTTCTACCCCATAACGCGATGTGGGTGCCGGGCGGTGGCTCGCAGCGTCGAGCGATGACTTTGCATCTCGTGATGCCTGCTAGGACATCCGGCTGGCAGGACATCAGAAGATCCGTGCAATATTTCAGTCGTTTTCTCATCAAGGGATCAGGAATTAATTTTGATTACGGATATCTAGTAACGAAACACTGCCTGACCAACAGCACTCGCCATGCAGGAGGGGAGCTGCTCGCTGCTGGTCTGACTTCTTTCCTGAGCCACCAGCAGCTCCACGTCCCATCACAACGCAGTGTCCAGTCTCTGTTGGAGGCTCTGGTGGTGACTGAAGGGGTGGGAGATGCAGGGGCTTTGCTGTTGCTCACTGGAGGTTCCCAACTGCTGAACGCGTTGGAAACAGGGACGAAGTGTCTTTTGTTAACGTGCTGGAAGACAGCACTGGTCTGAAACTCATATCTCCGCACTCCTTATGTCTCTTCCACACAAAAATTGCGCCTGTGCCCTGTGAAACGAACGCAAGACAAAACCGGAAAACAGAAACAAACCAAAATAAAAACCTGCCCTCTCTTCTTTTAGACAAAACTATATCCATACAGATGTCTTTCCGTCTTTACTGCTTGAGCTCCCTTTCTCCAAGCAGGCTTTGGGTTTAGCACCTTGTTTCTCCTGGGCGGTGTTGGCCCTGTTCTGCTCTACCACCGTGCCACCCGAGGCCGGACTGCTGGTTCGAGAAGGTTGCGTGTTGCCCTGGGTGCTGCTGTAGCTCTGAAATGCTATGTCTAACTGCTCCTGAGCCACTCGCAAGTGTTTGTGAAGGGTCGACAAATCTGCCGGGAGGTTCTCGTCCGGGCTGGTGCACTGCTGCTCCTGAGCGACGTTAGCCAAGTTCTGCTCGTGAGCCATCAGGCTATTGGGGATCTTGGTGGACTTTTCCGATTTCACGACCAGGTTGTACTCAGGAGGGCAGGAGATGTTCTTTGGGTAGGCGTAGTTGTAGGGAGGCTGCCTAAAGCTGTTGATTTTCCGGCTGCGAATGGCGTCTCGGATGGTTCCAAAGCCCAGGTGAAACATCTCGCACATATTCAGCAGTAAGCACAGGCAGCTCACGACGTACATCACGAGAAGAAAGATGGTCTTCTCTGTCGGCCGGGACACAAAGCAGTCCACGGTGTGAGGGCAAGGGACTCTGTTGCACACGTAATAGGCTTCTACCTCAAAACCGTAGAGCAAATACTGCCCTATCAGGAAGCAAACTTCAAAGGAAGCTCTTGTGAGTAGCTGGAAGACATAGATTTTCATCAGTCCTTCTTGCTGGATGCGCCTCCTCCCGTCGTGCTTTTGCGGCTCTTTGCTCTTGGGCTTGGCTTTGGCTTTCTCGTGTTCTGCTGCGTCGTCAGAGATCATGGGCTCCTCTTCGTCGGCCTCCATCGGGTCCTCCATGTTGCGCACTGCCTGCCAGTTCAACGCAAACTGCTTCTTCTTCTTGAAGCCCTTGAACTTCTTCTCCTCCTCCGCCGAGCGGGCGATCCTGTGGATGGCGTAGCCCAGGTACATGACCGAAGGGGTAGATATCATGATGATCTGGAAGACCCAGAACCTGACATGCGACAGCGGCGCGAAGGCATCGTAACAGACGTTGTCGCAGCCGGGCTGCTTGGTGTTACAGGTGAACTTGCTCTGCTCATCGGAGTAGATGGACTCCCCGCCCACCGCTGTCAAGACGATGCGGAAGACGATGAGCACAGTGAGCCAGACCTTCCCCACGAAGGTGGAGTGATTGTGAATCTCTTCTAGCAGGCGGGTTAGAAAGCTCCAGCTCATGTTGGTCATAAGGGCTACTCAGTTATAACCTGCAGGGAGAAGGGGGAAATAAAAAACACAGTTTTAAGTTAACACCCGTGGCTGCAGTCAGCAAGACGATGGTGACGTCGGCACATCTGTGGCAGGTGAGGTCATTTGACCCAAAGAGACACCTTTCATCGCTGCAGCCCATCTCCCCAGGACCTGCGAGGGACCACGGCAGGGGGCTCCCTGTGAGAGCCGTGGCCAGCGTGGGCATGTGCTGCGCTGACTGGAGGCAGGGACAGCTGGTGGTACTTGATAAACACAGATTAATAACCCTGCAAGCCACAGCACCTACGAGACTCGCTATTGCCCACTTTGTTGCCCATTTCAAGATGTTGCTCAGGTGTCTGAAGGGCTTGGGTGATTGTAAAAGAAGCCACTCAGGCACAAAAAGGTGCTTAACTTGTGATAATCTCTCGCTCTTGGGCTCAAGTGCCTGCTCTGAAGGCGGGAGCAGAGGATGCTGCCCACTTCACAGAGCCTTGAAGCATCTTTCATTAGCAAACCCAGAAAAATGCAAAGAATCAGCAAAAGAATGGGAATATTTATGTTTACAGGCCGATGGCCCTTTCAAGTTCCTTTTGAAAAAACAAACCAAACCAAACCAAACCAAACGTTTAATCAAATACAGCCTATTTTAAAAATAAACCTTGAAAAACTTTCAGAGGAAACCATGCATTTATTAGAAGTCCTGGACAGCTGCGGAGGAAAGGCTTGTAATTACCATTTTGTGTTTAGATTAACTTGCAATGGGGCCTCAGCCTGAGCGACTTGGGTGACCTCAGGCATCATCAGAGGCAGGAGGCAATTTTACTGCTTGAGTGGCAGCAGCTCTGAAAGACACCTGGAGATGAGAGCAACAGGGAAAGCACCCAGAGCCAAAGAGCATCGTGGCAGAGACCAGCGGGGCTTTTACCCCAGGGCAGCAGAGAACAGGCTCATCCTTTGTGCTCCCCTGCATCCCTCCTCTGAACCACCCTCAGGCTCCTTCGGGAGCGTGCCCACCTCGTTTGCACGCAGACATCTGATGGCACGCAGCAAATTAGGCATCGGCAAGCCCGATCCCACCCGTGAAATGATGACTGCCACTGCACCCAGAAAACAAAAGAGTGGATGTGCCAGTGGCAGAAGTGGGAGCCAAGCACATGAGCCTGGACACAAGTGAGTTAGAGCGAGGTAGCACATGGCAGCGTGGCCGTAAGCATGGCAGAATAACTTTAACTGCCTTGAGAGGGGTAAATCAGTCTGTCAAAGAATACTGCTTCAAGGATGGGAAGAGAGGATGAAGAAATTTTCCAGCTGGTTAGCAGAAAAGATAATAAGATATTGTGCACCTGGAGATAGCAAGTAGACGGTGTTTTAGAAGGTTTTAACGAGCTCTTTGTCCTTGGGGTTGTGTGAAACCAGACCTAAACGGGGCTTTTCTAGTCAAACTCCTTGTTGTGGAGATTAGAAAGCACCAAAACCTCAAAAATTGTTTAGGAAAGGGTGAAAGTGGGCCAAAATTAAATGTGGCAGTGGGAGATGGCAACGACCACCTCAAATCAGAGTGGCAAAAACTCACACCTGCAAGGAGCATGTGTGCTCATTTATGTGAGAGGCAAAGCTAATTTTAACATACTGATCCAATGATTAACGTAACCGTTATCACTAACCAGTAACTGTAGAATTAGTGACGAGTTAGGCGTGTTTATACCAATAGGTTAGGAAATCAATGTTGCAGTTTTTTGATGCAGGATGCTAGTTTCATCTAGCATCCAGACTTAGCCAACTTTGCTGATAAACCAATGTCAGCTTCCCAAACTATCTTTTGGTTTAGAGACTTCTTCCTTTGTAGTTGCTGCTTTCGGCGACAGCACCAGCACTTTATGGCTCAGCAGCAGCTGCCCTGGCACAGGCTGCTCCCCTGTGGTCCTACACCGTCATGCAGAGGAAAAGAAAGGAGCTGTTGGAAGAGTACAGGCACCAAACCCACCCTTCTCTGCTGGGTGGATGTAAACACCTGGGAGGGAAATGATGCCACGAGACACAGGCTCTTAACCTGTCTTTGCCCCACTGTTGTTTTTTTTTGAGACAGAATTAGGCTCTGAGGTTTCCATGGCACAAGCCAGGCTTTGAGCCCATCACCCGTGCCAGGCGCAGGGTGGGACCAACCATCAGCCGTAGGCACAACCCAACGCCGGAGCAAGAAGGAAGACGTGCCTTGCTCTGTTCTCCCTGTCGAGCCTTCCTGGAATACGATTTTGCTCATGCTGCTTCTCAGGACGAGAGCCAAAAGCGCTGGTTTGCTCAGCCCTCGCCTTTGTGCTGCCCTGGGACGTAGGACCGTGGTCCGAGGCTTGAGATGCAGTGAAATTCCTCTGCTGTCGAGAGCTCTCAAGAGCAGGCAGATGGAATTTTCTAACCCTGCTATTTCTAGATCAAACAAGTCCTCTGCGAACCCAAACCCCCAAGTCTTCACACGCCAGACAGAGACTGTGGGAGCACTCTGCAGATGGTGTTATTCTTGTTCTGTAGTTGGAGAAATTGAGGCAGGGAGCAGAGAAACAGCTCACTCCAGGCTTGGTAATAAGCCAGAATAAGAGGTTGGGAAGTTCTCCCCTCTGCCCTCAACTTAACTAGTGAAGAACAACAACCTGCAAAGCTGCTGGCACCAAAATCCCCATCTCCAGCCCCAAAAGCGATGCCTCCAACCCAATGGTCAGTACAGAAACGCTGCGGCAGATGGGACAATTCAGTCACTGTGGAAGAATATGAAAAGCGAACCCCACTGAGCATTTCTATTATTTATTGAGAAAATGGGGTTTATTCAGAGGTGAGATGGAAAAACATCCCCTCTGAGCACCTTTTTGCTCCTTTAGACTCAGTGGATACGCTTTAAAGTTGTCTTTAATCCTTCCTGCGATTCGTGTCTCTCTCCAGATATGGGTAAAATGGGGTGTTAAATGATTTGCAGGATTAATCCGGGCACTTGGCCAAGCTTCCGCTGACAGGGGGCTGGGAAGGGAAGACCCCGCTGGGCGCAGCGATGCCCCGCCGTGGGACACGGAGCATCTGTCTCTGGAGCATCCGGGTCCAGCCAAGGCAGGGCTGGGGCTTGGATTGAGCACGTGTCCACCCCAGCTTGGCTAGTCCCAGCCACCAGCTCCCATCTGCATCCCTAGTTAGCTGCAAGCCACAAATTATCCTAAAATGGGCTTTAAGTATCCTGTGGGGCAGTTCATTTATCATTTTTAGGGCTCACCTAAAGTGTTTATGAGGTCTACGCCGAGGATAATTTACCATTTTGCAAGTGTTACTCAAAGACACAATTCCCAAAGCTCAGGCTCACCTCCCAACAGCCTCATGCGGGGGCATGGAAGGTCTCACCAACGTAATGATGGCTTTTGGAGTAAATAGTCAAGTTTTGATCTGATATTAGGCAGGTTTGTTAGCAAAGCACCCACTGTCTTGTCACAATCTAGAAAGGAGCACCCGACAGCGTTGGTTCAACACGCTCACAGACGTCCTGAGTCGAGGAAAAGGAAAGAAATAACAAAAGTGGTGGGTTGTTGCTTTGAGAAAACAACCTCTGGTTGCCAGCCACCAGCTCGAGCTGTTGGTCCTGCCATTGGCGCCGTGGCCTAACCCTCCGTGCACATCTGGATCTACAGGAACATCTGCAGGAAACAGCCTGGAGCTGTTTCTGCACCCCTGGGATCCCACCGTTGCCTTTGTGATCACACCTTCCCGTTACACTCCTGCCCATCCACCCGCTCTCCTGGCACCATATTTGAAAGCTGGAGCTGAAGGATGTGAGTTAAAAAAACTCTCCTACAGTCAGTTCAGTTAAACTCCCAGCACTTTTCGGCGTCCCTGGCGGCAGGGAGGCTGGATTAAAATGATCTCTAAGGTCCCTTCCAGCTTAGGCCATTCTATGGTTCTATGATTTTCTGAGACTCGCTGTCTAGACAGACTGTGCTACGAGCTTTCAATGCCTTTAGTGGCTTGGGGGTATGAGTACACAATTATATTTTAGAATCAATTATAAGGCAAACCAGCTTCTAAGGAGGGATTTGTTGACATTGCTTTCGCTGATGAATAGGGTGGTACTAGGAAAAGACTGTGCCTCATCTCACAACGCCGACTATCAAACAATAGAAAACGGATTTTTTGCATCTTCCCCGTGCGGTGGAAAAATTACACAGTCCAGCTCCACGGGGGGAAAAACCCCGAGTGGATCTGCAGCAGGTAGATGGATTAGATTAGGTGGTTCGTGTAGCTAAATAATCTGCTGGAGAGATGGCGTGAGAAGACCCCACCGTCCCTCTGGCTTTGAAATCCATTCCTTCAGGCATCTTATCTCCACACGTCGGCTCCACACAGCGTACGAAACGCACGCAGGTTACAAGTTTCGCTTCAAAACAGCCTCAGAGGAGGAACTAGACTCCTCAACTCACCGGCACCACTTAAAGTAGTGAAAATTGTGTGTAGCCATCTACAGGAACGAGCTGTTGGCTCCACGTTCTCATCACTGTTACTTCCCGAAACCCGCCGACCCCCCTCTGTTCAGTCGCAGGCACAACGGTTGGAACTGGGAAAACTGTAAAACCTGAGTCTAAGATAAGCAGAAGGAAAAAAATATATAGAAAAGAAACCCCATCTGTGCTGGCTGGCTGTCTTTTTTTGTTTTCTTTTTTTCCTGCATGGCTCCTCGCTTAAGCCGCAAGGAAAACAATGAAGGGGAAAAAAATCGACTTACATAGTGCTTCTCGCGGCGGCTTTCCCTCCTCCGCCGACATTCCTGTGCTGCCTTGCCCGAGATAAACTCCCGCCACCTTGGTCCAGCCGTGCTCCAGCGGTTGGAAACCAGAGCTCAAGGGAAGTATTTAACGGGATGTCAAACCCCGCCTCTGCGGCGGCCGGGCACCCACCGCCAGGAGGTCCTGCCTGATCCCACCGCCCCGCCTGGCCTCTCTTTCCTTCGCCCAAACCTTGAGAGAAGGATAGAACGTGCTGT